CTCATTGGCACTGTGTTTTGAATCACTGTCACACTGAAAAGGGAAGCCTTTCTAGTTGGCAATACATGGTGGATCCTAATCTGATGGTACTTTTCTGCATTCGTAACTCCATTAAGCTCCTCAACACCACTGGCTAAAATGCAGCACCAAACAATGACAGAGCCACCACCATTCTTTTTTTTCTTTTTTTTTTTTACAGATAATGGACTGATTCTTATATTCAACCATCCTTCCATTAAGACCACTTCTGGTGAGGCTTTGATGAACAGTACTGTAGATGGATTGGCTGAATTGTCAAAAGCATTTCTCAGGTCCTGTCTCAGGTCTTTTACGGATTTTTCCCTATTGCTTAAGGACATGTCTTCTGATACTGTTCATCTGCTGTAGATTATTTTTAAGGGTTGCCGCTTTTTCTTTTGCCCTCCACTTTTCCAGTTTCCTCAGTGACACCCTGCACACCAACCAAATACATGCCAAGTTTTTGGTTCATAGCTCTTTTGGAAACATGTTGCTGGTGCAAAATTACTATTTTATGCCGGTCTGTGTTATTGGTGGCATTTAACTAAAGAAATGAGAACAGAAAGTTTATTTTTGCAGCAGGTCACTGCTAACAAATTGCTTAAAGCTACAATTTAAAATGTTCTTTTCTAAGTTGTCTGTTATGTGTGGACACATCACTGGTCCATCACTTACAGTTTTTCTCAGTCGCTTTGGTGCGTTTCTCAGAACACCATTAACATTTGCACAGCAGTTAGTGCATTTCCCAAAACAATTAGTGCAAACTGCAAAACCTAGTGGATAGCCTGCAAAAGCACGTCACATGCACAGAATTGATTATCCATACCTCAAAAGTAAGTATCCATGTCAACGAAACTGTCAGTGCCATCAAAATGAAAAGTCTTGACACCATCTTTATGAACAAGATAGTCAAATGGCATTGTCATGTTTCCACTATGACAGTTTATAATTTCAGTGTTTCCCATTGCAAAACCAATTGGTGACACCTGAAAATGCTGACGACAGCACTATGGCCTACCTGTAC